GGGGATGCACCAGTTCATTCTATTGGCCTAGGTTTATTCGAGGACAAGGGTAAAATCCATTGGTATGTTATTTTCATTTCCACTCGAATTAGCTGCTGCATGGTCTCACATTTTCTAACCATCCAACCTACAACAAAAAGGTTCCGCGACATTGGCTACCAACACGTGCCATATTTCAACTGTCCCAACTCTCCAAAATGTAAAGGCTGCGCCCCAGGCAGATTCTATGCCGGGGATTCATCTCTCCAGTTGGAAGACTGTCGAGCAAATTGGTTCAAATATGTTGGAATGGATTGATTTTCTTGTTTCTACTACAATATACAATTCAGGAGCATCCCGACGTCCCCCCAATCCTCATCCTTCCAACCCACCCAGGTCCGAGACAGCCTTATTATAATGAGACATGTACCCCTCGAACCTCCCTCTTAACAACGCAGGGAGAAGCTTTTCCCTGCATTGTGTTTTATCCTTGGCGCTACTCCTAGGCGTGAAAATCCCTTTCCCATCCGGCTTATTTTCCGGCAATAGATTTCTGATAGATCAGCATTTTATTCCTCGATGATATCACTTGCAGCGCCATGACATTCAGTGTTATCAACGCACATGCAAGACGGAATGACAATTTTACATGCATATCAAAGAGCAAATTCTTCCCCTCGCCCCTAAAACCTCTTCACCCACCAGACGAGAAAAGCAAAGAACTTCTTGCAGCATTACTTCAAAACACACCATTTCAGCAGAGAAGGCGCTGAAGGTGTTAGGTTCTTCTTGTGTTTCTCTTTTTATCTTTTTCATCGATACTTTCATTATGCATTTTGCCTCGGGTAAAAAGTCTCCATTCCAAACCTGTTTGTTTCTGCTTTGTTCTTCTGGCATATGTATGTTTTCTCTACGTGTCATTTACACCTGCAGAACTATTTTCAGCCCCTGCAATCCCTTTTCTTTTACAGGGTTTAATTTCTGATATAATTTTGTAAAACAACATTCTTTTGGCTCGTCTATATATGTTACCCCGTATATATCTACTTTGGTTTTTCCCTTGAGTGGTTAATTTTTGGGGTTGGGGACTCACGGGAGGGGGCATTGTTTTAGGATTCTTCTAATATTAGATTACGATATACTCTTTGCCTACCGACTCTGTCAAGTATATCCAGAGGTCAGGTTGTGGATTCGCGGGGTTACGAATAGATCGATGTCCGCGCCTAGCATATCCTTCAGAGAGAAAACTAGATGAGCGCCATTTTGAGCATGTCAAGTTCATCAATCATTGCTATAACTATTTCTTTTCGCCACATGAATCCACTTTCTTTCATTTCTTTCTCATATTGCCAGTTGTCGACCATCTGAGCTCTTCCATGCGAAATCTGATGCGGAACGTTGCAAGAAGCAGGGAATCCGGTATTTTTACCAAATAACTAGTTAACTACCTTGCTAGAGATTCCTCATGAGAGCCTGGCAATCCTTGAGCCATAGGAGATGTGCAAAACGAGATGACTCCAAATTAAGAAAACTTATCCTAGTCAATCATCGTCTCCCTTTTTTGATTCTACGGCTTGAACTACCCTCGACAGATATCCTGAGGGTAATTTATGCTTGGAAAGTTAATAAACCAAACGGCAACTGGCTGCTCATGCATGAATCTGGAACCTCAAATGGGTAATTAACAAAATGCTTTAAAAACATCCTGTATCACTACTCTATTTGAAAACAAAAACAGAATCCTCTTCATGCTTCCTATGGGTTCAGATTAGGGATGGGCCTCTAGTCAGCTACCATAACATAGCGAAAGCCCTCTTTTAGTATTATCTACTTCCATTGCGAAGCTTTGAAATCTCAACTTAATATCCTGCGGATTACTCTGAAGCACCGGGGATCATGATCTTTATACACATCTCTACACACTACATGGCAATAAAATTTCTACAAGATATAAGTAAACTTTAAAGCAATGTTACCAAGACAAATTTGTATTTCATTACGTTTCCGGTTCGCAAGGGGGAATAAATCCCACCCAAAAGATATTTAAATGCAGAAACGCCAAATCGCCTTGCTCTCAATCTCGCACACAAAGTCCCGCCAGCGAGATCTCCAATGGAGATTTTAGTCCTCTTTTCTATATATTTTTTTTTAATTTATTTTGGACGAGTTATTCCACTTCCCGTTACAGAAAAAGACTCAGCCATTGACCAAGTTTCTAGCAATAAAGCCACTGTTTCATCCCGCTGCTCTTAGTATATATAAGCAAGCAGCAATAAAAATATAAGTTTCATAGGGCAAAAGAGTGATAAATTCGCTGCTCATTTGTTGAATCAAATCTCACTTCTTAGGCTTGAGTGGTCGATTGATGCTCCAAACAACAGCGTATGGCTGAGGAGCTTCCCTGCGGGTGATGCGGAATGCGCGGACGATGATTTGCGTTTCTCCCTCAGGAATACCAGTCCACGTAACCTGTTCGACGTTGTTCACTCTATCGAAAACGCCCTCCTCGCCCATGTTCCCGTGCCGTTCCTGGCCATCAGAAGATTTGACAATGAGATCCAAATCATTCTGAAGCTCCGCTCCCGGCGGATCGGACCATACGAGTGTCACTTTCAACGTAGAACCCTCAGCGGCCAATTCACTTGTTAGTTTTGGGATGGTAATAGTGATTGGATTATCTTCGCCCTCGCCCTGGCTCAAGGGGCCGCCTTCTTTGAAACCACCGTTATCTTGTTTGGGTAGAATAATGGAGTTCACGAGATTAACCAAGCCAAACCCGGAATTGTTATTGGGAGACGGGCCTGCTTCACTTGGCTTATACTGTCCAACGAGCTCCATAGCGCCGTTGATAAGCAGAGCTTTAACAAGCGCAGCACTGGGCTGTTCGGTGCCATTCTTAACCAAGGACTCGCGTACAACCGCAGCACAACCAGCAACTAGAGGAGTTGCCATACTCGTACCGGCAAGAAAAAACCACTGAGGATCTGAGCTTTCTCCGAATTGGTTATCTGCCTGGGCTCTCCTTGATAGGCTAGACAATACGGCAGTTCCGGGAGCAACCACGTCGGGCTTGTAACGCCCCTCTCGTGTAGGTCCACGACTGCTAAATGCAGCCATACCTGCCGGATTATCTGCCATCTTGTCGGTGCGGAAAGGGGTCGAGGGCCAACGATATCCGTACTTGACTCCGATCTCGGGACGGTTATTTTCACTCGCTCCAACAGTAAGGCAATTCTTCGCTGCTGCCTGTGATCCAATTTGTTGTAGATCAATGACACCGTCAAAGTTGCGGTCGGCACCATCGTTACCAGCAGCAAAAAGAACGAGCATGTCAGGATTATCCCAGATGAATTTGTCCACCTGCGTCGCAGAAGTGTCATAAGGGATCTGACCAAATATCGAGGACGCTCCCCAGGAATTTGTATGAACACGTGCACCTACTTCTCTGTAGGGCACGATAAAAAGGTCCCCCAAATCATCCGGAATCCCACCTAGGCCGTTCATGGTATCGAGGACAGATTGAAGAGCAAGGGAGGCTTTGGGAGCAGCGCCAGCAATTCTTCCACCCATAGTTTTTGAACTGCCATCGCCTAGGATGGACCCTGAAACGTGGGTGCCATGACCATTAGGGTCATCAGTTTTGTTGGGCCTACCAAGGGCATAAAGCTTCTTGACACGACCGGTGAAAGCATGATGAGTATCATCCGTTTTACCAACATCGAAGCCAGTGTCACCAACTCCAACAACCTGCCCCTCACCTGAGTATTCTGTTTCTTCTCCCACAATTTTAGTGTCGCATCCCAGGACCTGCCACGCCTTGTTGTTGAACAGAATAAAAGGATGTACTTGTTGGATAAGGTAGACTGCGTCAATAGCAGCTACATCATCAAGGTGCTGCTGCTGTACTTGAAGGCGGATTTGCCGTGCGGAGACGGCGAGGGAGTCTGGGTCAGCACGAGCAGCCATTGCAACCGCCAATTTGACATCATCGTCGTTTGGATCGACGTCGTGATGGACGACAATGTTAACTAAATGGAGGCGAGAGGTCTTGGGTACAGGGGTAAATACTGAGATGGGGTTGAAAATAGGGGGCATCGATTTGAGGGACGACTGAACAACGAACTGGCTCAGATAGGGGTTGGCCCAGGAGACAAATGGTAGTGAACGGATCCGCTCCTCCAGGTCGGTGCTTTTGTAGCTGCAAAGGTACGTATTGGCAGAAACGTATTCCAGGATTTTGACACCACGATTCTCCAGTTCGTCATACTGGTCGCTTGTCAAAGGCTGGGAGGTGTGGATAAGAATGTAGTCTGACTTGGAGGCATCTTCAGCGTGCAGACCAAGATCTATCAACTCCTGGAGCTGGTTGAGCGGGTCAAACAAGTTGCCGTTAATTGAGATGGTTGACATGGCTGTTGCTACTGGCGGACAGTGATGAGCAGACTAGAGAAATGGGACCGGATGGGAATGTACTTGGAGAGAATGACAGACGACTAAGATAGATATTGAAATGGGACAAATAACTGGCAGGATATGAATAACGGAAGAGACCAAGATATAGAGACGGAAGAGGTTTGAGAGATACAAAGAAGAAAAAGACAACAATGTAAGAGCAGGAAGAAAATAAATAGGGGGGAAAAGAAAAGAAAAAGAAAAGAAGTTAAAAAAAAAAAAAAAAAAACATGACGTGGACTCGGGAAGAGGAAAGAGCCGCATCAAGGGGTTGAGAGCACCCTTGCTGCGGCAGGAGTATAGGACGAGGAAAGGGGCTTAGGAGTTAGCCAGCCCGCTTATTGACCCCTATTCAGGACTTCTGTATATCGCCAGGATATGGTATATATGTAGGAAGATACATATAGTTGTGCATGCTCCCATATCGGATATGTGCCTGCAAAAACCTATCCAAGCTCTTGCAGCCTTACCGTGTATGTAATCCATACCCTCATGGAATCACTAGTGGAATCGCTGCTTCAACAATTAGTCACAACCGGTGCAGGTTGTGGAACAGGGAACCTGTAAATATGGCTCATCTGTTGGGTTCTTCATTTGTAAACCCTCTCATCCAGGCAGAGATGACGGTATACGTCGTTCGAGGACCGAATTCAGAGGCTATATTGGAGAAGGTGGGACGATGGAATCCCTCCCCAATATCAGTAGCTAGACGCTCTCCATTGAGCCGCTTGTTATCGCGATATAATAGCAGGCAGCTGGAGGATAGCCTGGCTTTCTGGTATAGACCAAATGCCCGAAAAAAAAAAAAAAAAAAAAAAAAAAAAAAAAAAAAAGGGGCAAAGGGCCGGTTATATCAGGCAATATCCTTCTGATCGGAACGGCATAGGCCTCAAACTGAGTGCTGCATCGTTCAATTCAGAGGAAAAAGCTTTATCCAACAGATAAAAAGAATGGTCCAACAAAAACCAAATCACGCTTTAACCCCTACAACAACTAAATTCCTCGGACTCTGCTGATACTCAAACACCGTCTCCACCCACGCCTCCTTAACCCCTTCCTGCTCGCGCAGAAACAGCCATCGATCCACCACAATCAGAGACTCCACAACCCCAGCACTAAACGCCATAAGACTCCACACAATGCTCAGATTCTTTCTATACACCGCATACCGCTCCTCATAACTCGCTAACTCCTCCGCAGACAACCCAGCCACCTTCTCCCTAATCGCCGCTCCATAGTGCGGATCGCGGGATAATTTCGCAATAGCCGCGCTCGCATATGCAATGAACGAGGTGAAGGCAGCCTTACGCATCGATCCGACAATCAGTGGCGTCCCACTAACCTCCGCCTTCATCCCAAACTCCGTTGACACGTCACCAACCGGCGACCCGGGACCAGGTGCCGGCACAACACCATAGTCTACCAGAACCCGCTGCAGCAAGGCGCGGTAGTAGTGTCTGGTGAAGAAATTCTGGCTATCCTCCGGGCCCCAATTATACGGTGCCTGAACCGCCATCATGCGTGCAGTGATGTTGAGCTTGATGCCCGTGCCGCCCTCGTGGGTGTAGGTTTCTAAGTATTTGCTCATTGGAAAACCGTGTGGGTCGTAGGCTTTGGAGGTGGCTTCGAGACGTGGGTGGAGAGAGCGGAGAACGGGAAGTTTGTAGGTTACTGGGCCGAGGCGTTCAGTCATGAGGTTGTAGCAGCAGCCGATCATGGCAATAGCAGTGACGGAGGGGTTGAGGAGGAGTGAGCGAATGCCGTGGTGCACGAGATTGCCGCAGGAGTGGAGGGAGATGACCATGACACGTGCTTGGGGTGGAGATTTGGATGTTTGGAAGGTTGCTGGTGTGTGCTTGGGACATGTAGATGTACATGTACACTGGTGGTTCGGAGGCGCGGGAGATGGTGCCTCCACGACGTGTTTAATGATACGTTCAAGATACCCGTCTTTGATGTCATGTTCGATGTAATCCATGGATCCCTTGGAACAGATGTCCTCCTCGTTCTGTTCTGTCGTACAACCATCTGAACATCCAGGGCATTTCCCAGCATTTGATTTAATCCCAACTTCAGCATGAACCAGCGTTGTCAAATCCTCCCTATCTTCCCGATATATCTTAACCTTGCCATTCTGCGGAGTTGGCACCGCAGAATCAGAATCCGCTTTACCCGTAACGTCCCCAGGGACACCCCCATTGACGCTCTCCTTATCCCCTTTCTGGTCCCTCACGGCCCTCTCCTTCTTCTTCAGCTTTGCCAATACATCTTTCCCCATCGCACCACTAATATTATTCCGCCTTCGCTCAATGGCAATAATCCGTCTATTATACGGTTGGCTAGCCAGCGTCCGGCCAAGGTAATTCTGCCCAGAACCAAAGTCAACAATATGCGTAATCCGCTCTCCATCACCTTTTTGATGCTCAATATGATCAGTGAGGGCATCGACATATCTAGCGAAATGGGCGACTTCATGCGCCTTTTTGGGTTTCATGCCAATGGCAATATGGCGGGGGATAACATTGCTACAACTTTTAGCATTGGAATTTCCATTGCGATGCCCGTTCTGCTCGGCATCATTAGTTCTAGGCGTGAACTCCCGCCGCAGACAATGTCGTCTTATATCTTGGATATATTCCAGCAGACTTTGAGGGGGCGTCGGGCCACCCCTCCACTCAACACCACCCTCTTTTCCCCCATTGATGTCGCGGCATATATCTCTTCGTAATGATTGTATATCCTCTCTCATGAGCAGATCCAATATCGCACTGATGTCATGGTGCGCGAAGAACTCCCTCCAATCCTGCGGTATGACGGTTGTGTAGAGATCTGGCACGCGGGTGAGGAAATCGAGGATATGTATGCCTCCACAAAAGTTGAGAAAGACATTGGAGGTTGTTGCGAAGGTGAGAAGGGAGGATACGTAGGTGTCCGTGTCGGGCCAGGAGGGGGGGAGTGGGAGCGGGGTTTCAGGGGGCATATCCCTGGGACGAGGTCAATCCGCGGTGTGTATCAGTAAGCGAATTCATGAATGATATAAGATGAAGAACGACAGAGTTAGAATACCCTATGGGAGATGTATTCGGCCCTCAATGGGGTGGCAATATAAATATAGTTACAAGATAAAAAAGAATGAAGTAGGAGTAAAAGAAAAAAAAAAAAAAAAAAAAAAAAAAAAAAAAAAAAAAAAAAAAAAAAAAAAAAATTTGAGCTGGGCTTGGCGCCAAGCTCCTATCTTGTCTGGCTCCGCATTTGTTGACAGCGATAGCGGACACAGACTTAACATCAGCGATTCCTGATGACAACCTCATCTCTATATATACATACACACCACCAGATTCACCACTAACAGATAAAATCACAACAGCCATAACTGTACATATATTTCGACATTCTATTTATCCTCATGGCCTCCTCAACAGACACAGACCCCTTCCTCCAAGTCCAAGCGTATGTTCCCCTCAACCCGTCCCAATATCACCCCACTAACCATCCCCCGGCTTCGAATAGCGACGTCCTCTCCGCCCTCACGGCAACCCGCCCCCTCTTTTCCTCCTACATCCGCATACGCTCCCTAGCGACATCTCCCACAAACCCGGAACTCCAACAAGCCCGCTCGGAGCTTGAAACAACCCTCCAAGACCTCTCCGCCGACCTCAAGGACCTAGTCGAAAGCGTCCGCGTTGTCGAGCACGATCCATACCGCTACGGCCTTGAATTAGACGAAGTAGGCCGCCGACGACAACTAGTCGAAGATGTTGGGAGGGAAATCGAAGAGATGCGCGCAGAGCTTGTGCGGACCGTTACAGCTAGTGCAGCCAAAGGGACAACTGGCGTTCGCGGGCAATCTGGACTACCCAGCCCCTCACATTTCGACCATGGACATGACGACCGCCTGCTCGACAATGGCGAGCGGGACGACTACTATGCGCAGTTCGAGCAGCAGCGGCAGCAGGAGTTGATGACGGAGCAGGACCAGCAGATTGATGGGGTGTTTCAGACCGTGGGTACACTGCGGCGGCAGGCGGATGATATGGGGCGTGAGCTGGAAGAGCAGACGGAGATGTTGAAGGATGTGGATTCTTTGGCGGATCGGGTTGGGGGGAAGTTGCAGGTTGGGGTTAGGAGGGTGGGGAAGATTATTAGGCGAAATGAGGGTATGCATGGCATGAGTTTAGGTGATCTGCATTGGGTGTTATACTGACTTAGTATATGTTGGTTTAGATACGGCATCAAACTGCTGCATAGCGGTGTTGATTATGGTGTTGATCCTCCTATTAATTTTGGTGATAGTTCTCTAACTAATATTACAGCGAGAAAAATGGTGTTTCTCTTCCCTGATTTACATATGGAACTGTTTAACGAAACGGAAGATAATACAAGACAAACGATATCCGAATTCCCACAATCATCCAGCTATATCAAACGCATTTCAAAGAGAGAAGACAAAGAAATACAACGAAACGACATATCATGAAGTCTTGACCTTCTTGCGAGGCCTATTACCCTCGTTCTCGTCCTCACTCTTCTTCTCATCTTCTTCGTCATCGTCGCCATTCACCCCTTCTTCGTCATCATCGCCATTCATCCAGTCCATGTCAAACTCATTATCAGAGCCGAAGTCGTCCTTCTCCTCGAACGATTGAACTGCATCACAAGCCAGTTAGCAGGAGACAAAAGTTAGAGCAGGAAACACAAATCCTCCAACGAAACATACCATAATACTTGAGTGCATTTTCCCACAAGTCCTCGCTCAGCGCAACAGCAAGCTCATCACCATCCGGGAATATGTCCGCATTCATGAGCCCGTCCTCATCGTCATCGTCGTCATAGTCATCCTCATCTTCCTCCTCACCCTCTTTTTCTGCTTCTTCCTTCTCCTTTTCCTCCTCAACCTCCTCCCCCCGGGCAACCTTCGCCCAATACACCTCATCCTCCTTAACAGCGGCTTCCGACTCCTCAGCCGAAATATCGCGTCCGCGATACCCAAACCACGCAAAGAAACTGATACCAGAGCGTCTCTCCTCGTCGTGGTCATGGTCATGATCATTATTTTCATCATCACTACAATCCGCATGCAGATGCGCCTCAGCCTCCACCTTCGCCACCTCAGTCACCACCGTCTCATACTCAGATAGCTCCAACCTCTGCTCTACAGTAACCTTCTTCCCATCACCAACTTTCCTCTCAGCTTCAGCAAGGTTACATGCCGCATCCAAAAGCCCCTTTGTTGGATCAACCTCCTTACTTCTCCACTGAATCCTAACAGGCTCCGACACAAGCCCCTCCCACACCCTTCTTCTCCCATTCCTCTCAGACCGCCCAATACTCTTCCTCCAATAAAACTCCTTGACAATCTTCACAATCCCATCTGCACTTGCATTCGCATTCTCATCCGCTCCCGTATCAAACCACTCATTAACCTCCGAATCCGTCTTAAACTCAAATGTAAAGCGCAAGTTACGCGGCTCGCCCTCGTCACCTTTCCCATTTACACTGAAGCGTTCGACGGTGAGGTTTCTGAGACAGCTGCCGATGATATCTGCGTCGGAGGGGAGGATGAACTTGTCAACTTCTTCCGGGGCGTGGGAGAAAACGCGAGGCCAGAAGTCGGTTTCGGTGAGTTTGGCAGTTATGAGGGCTGTGCGGCGGGCGTAGAGTGGGCGGAGGAGGGAGACGGAGGCACGGACTTTTTGTTTTTTTAAAGTCTGTGTTAGATAATAATGCTTGTTTTTCTTTTCCGCTATTCTTCGCATGTCCTTCCATGCATGTATATAGATGTGTATGTGTATGTATGTAATAGATGTGAAATCAAATATCTAGCAATTCAAATGTATTATCCAGGGAAGAGAGGAGAAAAAAAAAAACCTGATACGTACGCGCTTTAACCTCAGCGTCTACAATCTCGCGCTCCAGCAGTGCTATTTCGCGGGCTGTTTCTTTGGTGACTGGCGGCTTGCGAGGGAGCTCCGCACGCACGAGGAGCGGGACTCGGTCGTCGGAAGACATTTTCCTTTATTTTCTTTTACCTTCCTCGGAAAGACGAATCTAGATGTGAAAAATTGGTTAGAGTTGATTGGGTTGAACAGGTGTAGCTGGATGAAGAGGTGGAGGATGATTGGTCCCATATTTAATAACGACCAACCGCGAGATGGATAGGATATGCGAAATACTCATGCAGTACATACCTGATATCTCAGACACAATGCGCAATGGCGAGGAACAAGCCACAAAGGAAGAGGAAGGAGACGAAGACAAGCGCGAAAAGGGATTGGGGTATTGGGATTGGAATGGGATGATATCGCAAATTTTCTGCGCCAGCCAACTTTTCGTGAAACCGATTTCTTTCACCCTGTTGAGCTGTTAAAAGTTTTTGAGCAGGTTAACGTATTTCACCGCTATTTAACTGGATCACTTACTCGCGTGATATAAAACTCTATTTAGTAACCCCTGATCGATTTGCTTGGTTTCACTCTACAGGCTGCTAGATATAGAATGTAAAGATGCAAGTCTTGTCCAGGTGTCATACACATGCTCTATACGGAGTACAGCTGGAGTAAATGAAATCGTACTTACCTAGCTCCCTAGTGTCTTAGAAGAGAAAAAAGGTATGAATATGAAAAAATAATTAATTAATTAATTAAAATTAAAATTATCGGAAATAAAATTAAACTATTTTTGATTTTAACTTTAAAATAGTTAGTAAATTGTTTAATGATGGCTTTTTTATTGTACTTTATTATAAATATAGTTAGCTAAGTTATAAAGTAATAACATAATTGATAAGCAAGTCGGCCACATAAGAGAGTTAGTCACTTTCCTCTCCACTATACAAGAATGCTTTCAAAGTCTCAACTATAAAGAAAAACTAGCAAATTACACTATATATTATTTTCTGTATGCTTAGAGCATGTACAGGCAGTATGCTCAATAATCTCACATACACTACACTGTGATGCTGTACATTTTTATGATCATGACTCAGCAGTCTCAACTACTCTTTGCTCTCATTCTGTAAGGGGCTGAACCCCTAGATTCGCTCTGGCTGGCTGACTCAGCCTAGCCATTGTTTGCACGTGCGCACGTGATCATGCTACGCGAGCTTGCTTAAGCTCATGTTCTCATCTCATTCTTTTCTTCCCTTTCCCAAGCAATTCATCCTTGTTATATAGGAGGACTAGCCTCTAGTTCTTAGAGCTTAACCCTCTACATTACGAATTGCTTCACTCCTTTCATTGATAGGCCACTGGAAGTCTTAATCCTGTATCATGAAGCTCAGCAAATGTGCTGACCTGCATCACAAAGTTCAGTGATAGCACTGGTATATGAATAGACTGAGTTAGCAATCATGCTAACAAACAAACAAGCAACATTGAAAACATCTAGCTGAATGAGATAAAGCAGCAGACTTGTACAACAAATACACAAATGAATCAACATGAAGCAATGAGCAGAGATGTCTTTAGTGACTTTGAACAACAATAAATGATCTTTCTTCAACAGCAGAAACAGATTCAGTGTGAGAACAGAGATTTAATAGCAGCTCAGCAAGCTGAAATAGCTAATCTACAACAAGCTTTGAACATCTTAATATCAACTCTCTTTCAATCAAACTTGCAATCACTTATTGCAGTCAGAAGATCAAAGATCAAGTTATTAGACTGCAAGAAGTATGATGATTTTAATTTGAAGCACTACTCTCAGTGAGAGCTAAAGCTTCAATCAAAACTTAAGATTGATGAAAAAGCTTTACATAATAATGAGAAATGTACTTGATATGTATACTCAAGATTGAAAGAAATGACAGCAGCTCAAGTTTATCTCTGAATTGAGAGTAATAAGAATAAGATCAACTTCATGATAGAGAGCTTACTGAAGCAGACACATATGCTCTTTAGTGATTCTGCATGACAGAAAAAGATTATGCAAAAGCTCAACAATCTACAACAGAGTAGAAGAGCTCTCTTTAACTTTCTGCCT